GGTAGCAAAGTGTCCTAACTATCATTAAATCCAGTATCAGGTAGCAAAGTGTCCTAACTATCATTAAATCCAGTATCAGGTAGCAAAGTGTCCTAACTAACATTAAATCCAGTATCAGGTAGCAAAGTGTCCTAACTAACATTAAATCCAGTATCAGGTAGCAAGGTATCCCAACTATCATTAAATCCAGTATCAGGTAGCAAGGTATCCCAAGTATCATTAAATCCAGTATCAGATCCTAAGGTGTCCCAACTATTATTAAACCCAGTATCAGGTAGCAAGGTATCCCAACTATCATTAAATCCAGTATCAGGTAGCAAGGTATCTTGACTATGTTTATACAATATATAATGCAACCCAAGTCCGATATTAACACTGGCACACAACATGTTCAAGTAAATTCAATCAACATTAATCTGAGAATTGCTCTATGAATGATTTATCATTACAATAAGAAATGAATAGGTTAAGCCACAAAGTTCGTGAACCACTTTTCACTCTTCCAGGTTATGGAAAGATTTGATACAAATATCATCCTAAACAGTACACATTCAAATTAATTTCTGTACAGTTTGTCAATGTCACAACTGCTTAAAAGAAGTTTTATTCAACAAATCACTTTTTCTGTACAAAAACATGCAAATTTTGGTGTACCATGTTTTTCTTTCACTAGAAGAAGTGTTAGAGAGATAAAAATTAATAATTCAAGTTGCGAATTGGTCAAATTAAAAGATGCAAGATGTAATTCAATTAACGTATTGCAACATGTCTTTGTGTTTTGTCTACTCAAATAAAACACAATCCATCATACTTCACATTTAGTACGCTTCATTACATCAACATAATTGCACAGGTAATTCCAATCTAAAATTTGAAACTAATTAACACAGAGAATTTACCAATTTATGACGCAGAACTCATCAAAAAGTTATTCGTGAACATTAGTGTCACAGCTGTGTCTTCTTATAAAAAAAAACCAACTGTACGACACAGTACAACTTGTGAATACATTCTAAACATAGCTCAATATACTGTGAAAAGTATAAAACGTCTGATCACTACATTATTATCACACTGATGGAGGCGCACACACACCATAAATCTAATGAAGAAAAATTTATATATAACTAGATTATTATGTTACAAACACCTCAGCCCTTCGAAGCTACAACTACATCCACATATTTACACGCTTGTGCTATCTTTCTGGCAAAAAGGAAATACCTAGTAATCATTGTCAGAGAAGCGTTGTTGTATGCTAAGTCCTCATATCTCTACACTCTTTCAGTTTCTAATGCATATTACCGAGCACATCAATTGATGTATAATGTGCCCAAAATGATGCAAATTTATACACTAAGTCATGACTACACAAAAAACAAACAAACCATAAACCCAATTTTTTTTTAAAAGGCAGACCTTTCTTGAGGGTGACCGATTTTTGTGTCACATTTCAAACCTTAAATTTTCTAAAGCTCACATTCCGAAAAGAAATGTCACACAGTTGTTAGTTTAACTTAAGTTTTATACATACGTCAAAGCTGTGAACCCTTATTATAATATATCAAATACACATCAGCAAAGCTAAACGTTTTGTTTTACAACAATCCTTCCAATTTGTACCCATACACGTACAGTACGATTTCATTTTACTAAAATAGAAACCTCTGAAACTTTTAAAATTACCACTTTTCTAAAGATTAGAGTCAAACGGATATAGTCCTAATCTCAAAACTGTTGCAAGTAATATTACCCAGATGAGCTTAATGCAACTTACAAATTTCAAGAGTCGGTGGAAAACAAAGAAAAAGTCGCTCTTAATTTTGTAATGTCTTCATGGCAAAATTACCATACAAGTATTAACTACACATCAATTTTTATAGATATTACATGCTACTATTTTTTCTGTCTTCAGACTTACAAATACCCATATTGTATTTCAATGGTTTACTATATAAGTACAAACTCACTAATGCCGAAGAGAGTGAAAATACCAAGTTTCTCGAACATGAACAAATGTAGGAACCAGCTGGTAAAGAAACAAAAACTATAGATTCTTAACAAAGGATAGAAAAAATCAAAGTTAGATCCTGTAACAAGCAATGAATGTTCTATCCAAAGCTTTTTATAACAAATAAAACGAACATATCTGTATCTGCAAGAAAAATAAGATGGGTTACAAAATAGAGACGGTTTGATTTTTTTTATGGATTTCTAAACTCATACAAGTTTATTATGCCGTACTAGATTGAATCAGTAGTTCAACAAGCAAGAAATCCAAACACCTAGAATTTCTTAAATTATAAAAAGTTAAAGGTCCTGTGATAAGCTATCAATACATTATCCAGACCTTTTGGAAACTGACGTATATATATTTACTTATGGCGGACATAAATGATTTTTTTCATTTGATGAAACAACATTTTTAACAACAAGTTTATACAATAATCATTTTGTGTTTTTGATAAAAGTAAAGAGATTAATTTCAACTTGTATTTCATAAAAATCTGGTACGTTAGATTATAATTAGTTGAAACCACTACTTGTTATTAACTTTCTTCTCAGAAAACGAAAGGCAGACCAAGTAGAAATTTTATACGAGGACAAACTGAGTGATAAAAACAGCTGAAACTAAAAATTAAAAACTGAGCCACATAGTTTAGGGTGAAGATACCAGCTCACATCTAAGGGAATAGATTACACTTTCCACTTTGAGTTCAACCGTGTATCTTTTGTCTGGTGTGTCCTTAAGTAAAATTTACATTACGTATCCACGAGTCATACAATTTTACACACTAACCAAGTAGCTTCGGATAGTGATTTTCTGATGACAATCTAGCTGACCAGACTTTAGATGACACTGCTCTGAAATAACTTGATGACGACAAGATAAAAACTCTTCCTGACACCAGGGTTGGACATAGCTTCTAAGGGACTTTACTGTGAAAATATTTATGTGGTAATCAGCTATGTAAACAAAGACTCCAAGTGGTGTTTTTTTTTAAAGGTTTGCAGGAGACAAATCTACACCTTCTCAATCTTGACAGGGTAGCTGGATTTAGATTTCAAGTAACGGTGCTCTAAGAGTGTGCAAGTATACAATGTACCTCTGCAAACATGAGTAACGCAACGATGACAAACATCATCTTACTCGTACAGTTCTGCAGATGATACAAGATGTATACTGATGATGAAGGGTTATAAACATTTTTTTTTGAATACCTGATAACTTTAATATCTTCTGACTTTGTATAAAGAATGAATTTTCTTTTCCATTCTTTATCTGGAACAACAATGGAACTAGATGACAAAAGGGGGGCTGCAACTGTCTTTTGTCAACTATTTAATTGCTTAACAAATCGGAACCAGTACAATCCATTAATCTAAAGGTTCCGTTGCAACAAAACTGTTCAACAATCAGCATCTAATCTTCTTCAAATTTAAACCAGAATGTTTATATTACACATGATAAAGGTGGTGAGAGAAATAGTTGCTAACATCTTTTATAAAGTCCCCCCCCCCCAACCACATCCCCAGCCAACTGCTATAACTCCATATCTTTTGTTTCATCATCAGTGAAATCACTCATCGAGCTTTCACTGCTGGATGATTCATCTTCTTGTTCCCTAAGAGCTTCTTCTGTGGCAAATTTTCTGACATAATCTGCAAAACATTTACACACATGTACATATATTAAAAACCTGTAACACAATTTGATCTATTAGATAAAAACCTTAATGCAGTTTAAGAAACTGTTTGTGCTCCAATACTGTAGTGTAACAGTTAGTTGTTATACTTGAGTATCACACTTTAACGCAAGTCTATAATACATTATGATGTACAATGAGTAACCGTTAAAGAATTTTAGGGTTAGAAAATGAGATTAAAATATCAAATCAAATTGGAGCTATTTTTTGTCCTCCAATTCTCTTAGCCAATCATGGATTTTAGACTAAAAGACACATTAAAATAACATTCCAGACCATATTTTGGTTGCCATAGATCTAGATCAACTAATTAGATCTAGTATTAAAAAATAAAAATCTTCAAGGTTGTGAACTGTGCCAGAAGAAAACAAAAACAAACGAGATTTGAAATCAGTTTTTACATGTCATTTAAAGTCTGTGATGGGATCATTAAATAAGAAAAATTATGATGAAAAATAACAAATTTTATACAATGATATTATTTATTTATATTTATTTTTGAAACTATTTTTAAATATAAATTTGTTCACTTACAATAGTTTACAAGTTTCACCCAAAAGTTGAACTTTAGAATTGGATGTAAGAATTGAGTGCATGCTTTTTGCAGTGTTTGTATATGTTTGTACGCACACAATCCAGTTGTTGGTGCATGCGACTTAAAGACACCATGCTTTCCACCTCTCGTAATGCTTCCGCTACCACATTTATATACTAAGAAGAAAAACAAAAATCACCCCCCTCTGACAAATTTATTTTTACATAGGCAATAAAACTTAATGGCATGTTTCAATATTTTTAATTACTTACCTCAAACACTTGAAACTGGTAAACATTGGAAAACTTCAAGTAGAATACCCTTTCTTCATTGCTGTACAAAATTTCAAACTTTCATGGCAATGCTCAAGAGGGGGGGGGGACATTTGGGCACTCAAGGCAGTGAAAGAATTAACAATTAAGGCCTTGGACCAAAGATGAACTATAAAGTGGCAGACAATGTTTTTCTTTTATAAAACTCCATTTCTAGGTTTGGTCAAAAATGACCCAGAAATAACAGCTTTATGCTGCTTTTATTTGTTGTCGTCAAACACAATCAAATGACAAGACTTGCATCCTAATTATGCAGAAACACAAAATGTGCCGTAAGATTTGTAACATATGCTACAATAGATTTAATCGTTGTTTCTTCTTTTCCTACGATGCCAAAGTTACATTATTTTTTGAACTTATGTTTACAATCTTAAACAAATTACATGTACAGATCATTTATATAAATGATCAAGATAATTCCAGATTTTACATTAACCTTAAAAATGTTACACGTAAATGTCATTTCTATAAAGGATCAAGGATAAATCATTTAGAATTACAGTTAGATCGAAAAACTCCTATGCTTTTTTCTATTATCAAATTAAACAATTTACAATTCATAGGCCATAACTGTACATAATGACAACACAAAGTCACAGGTCCAGATTACAAAAATATCAGTTTTCTCTCTCTTTTCCAACTTTGTAGATGGAACTGACAAGACTTGCCAATTACCTAAACTGAGAGTAAATATTCAACAGCGCTTTGCCGACTGTTTAATTTTGGCTTCTTTCAAGGAATTAGAAGTCTCCTTCCCCCATCGTCAAACATATAGGGGTGTTTATGAGAGTTCAATGGTCAGAAGACTGGGAGATTGCTTGAAAGAACACTCTAGTCCTAGGTTCAAGGACATTTCAAGCATTGTTCAACATGCGCTATGTGATGTGGTCCCATCCCCCAGTATGGTCAAAGTAACCAGTAGAGCCAAAAACACAATTATGCTACAAGTGAAGGAGAATCTTCCAATTCTACAAAAGTAGTTAAAATTAAACAATCAGCAGAGCACTATTGAACTTTTTCTCACAATTTAGGTAATTATACGTAACCTTTCATGCTCTACTGTATAGTATTTATTGCTTTTCTTTACCTGAAAGATGTTAAATTATCACCGAATATTACAGTCTCGAAGTCTTCCCACAATCTGATATACGTATTAGTAATAGGAAAAACTTGGATGGCAAACCACTTTCAACCCTTCTTTCTCATACGATAAAATAAAATTGAAAAAAATATATAGGATGAGCAAAGCATCTTTTACAACAAGCACTAAGTTTTTTGTTTATCCGTTTAGACATTTCCTTCTTTGACTTCAGAATTTGTTTAAAAGAAATAAATGTAAACAATCAATGTTGTGTCATTGGTTAACATTCCATAACAGTTTATGCTCTTAAATGTCTGACTATAATACGAAATTCAATCATAGCTCTGCGACATGCGTTTAAATCACAAAACGCACATCGAAAAAAATAGATCAATTTGCTTTTGTAGATTAACATTTATGACATCCAAAATATACTGTTTTATTGTTGTTACCTTGAACTTTCTTTCTGTAATCTTCTGGTTTATGTAGATACATTGCAGCAGCATCACCATTAAGAGGATCGATAGGGTTAGGATACGTCAACAGCTGAGGAAGGAAGGAGTCGAAGATGTTGGAAAGATCTGAAGCATGAAAATTTCAGTCAGTGACAGTTCTCTGTGATATTGAAACACAAAAGTTTATTTACAAACACTTACGTTTTTTCTTGGCTTAGTAGTATTTCTCTGTTGCACGTACACTTTAATAACTGTTAAAGCAGACAGTACTAACAGTACACGTGTAACACTCACTCTCAAAGATATTCATATTACAAATAATTAAGATGCTCTCGTGTGACACGTTGTCAGCACAAGATTCATCAAGTAATTTGTTTTGATACTACAGTACTCTTGAATTCGTGGGCATCTAGGGGGGAGAGGGGCACTTGCCCCACCTGGAAAATGAGAAACATAATTCTTTCTTTATTCATTCGGCATATCTATACGAAATTTTTTTCAATGCACGATTTCACACTATTTTGCCCCACCCCACCAGAATAATTTCTGCAGAGGCCCATGATACTGATAATTACTACAAATTAATCATTAGTTGGTAATAAATGGATGATTCTCTTTATCATTTCACAATTTTTTGCAAATGGTTTTCAAATAGAAAAAAATACATATACATCCATATAGTCCTACCATACAATGCTGTCCATGCTTGATTTATGACATCCAGACACACTGTTCCTGATCTGAGAGCGAAGAGAAAAAACATTTTATATTTTTATATTATTCTTCAATAAAAAGGCAACTTAAAAATAGGCTAGTTAGACTCTTACTTATATTAAAAAACAAATACCTTTTTAACACAAAAACTTAAGCTCAGAGTTCCTATCTACTTAAAAAAAAAAAGATTATAAACTTGTATTATTAACAGTTCTGACACACAGGTGTTACAAGTTTCATAAGTAATATTACAGCCAAATGTTACTGAAAATCAGTTGACATTAGGCATTTAAACAACGAATTTAAAGTAATCATTTATAAAACCAAAAATTAATGTAAGTGTAAAAACACTAGTTATTGCTCTTCCAAAGTTAAGCAGAAATTCCAAAAATGTTGAAAATATACTAATGCTGGATTTATGTAACATGTAATATTGATGTTAAAAATGATCGATAATATCAACGACTAAAAATTAATATTCAAGTCATATTTCATTGAAATATATTGAAGAAATGGAACTTTTTTTTTGACATCAGTTTCAGGTCAATAAAGTCAACAGAAGATGATGATTTTTGCATATGCAAATAGAATGATCATGAAAATTCATTTGAACATGATTGAGCATATAAGACAGAAATAAAAATAATTTCACACGGACTACGACTTTAATTGAATATTTTGACTTTTTATAGTAGCATTTCTGTCAGAAAGAAGTAATAAGAGACCAGAATTTCCTCACCATTCTTTGTAATGTCAAATCCACAGTAATCACTGCTTGAACTAGATTTTTCAAACATCTTTAACCCCATATGGTACTTCTTGATGTATCAAAATATATTGGCAGCTCAAATTGAGGAGGGGATTGAAATACAGGAGATCAAAGGTCAAGAAGCCCATGAGGTCAGAATGATATAGTACTATTTATTTTTTTATTTATTTATCTTTTTAATATTAATCAATTATTTGGTGTTTAATTTAAGAGGTAACAAAAGTAAAAATCTTTTTTTTTTAATACAGTATTGTGCAAATTTACTAGAACACTTCGACTATCGTCATTTTATGAGCTTAACACAAAAACAGTCATCGATGTCCAAAGCAATTAACTTATAATTACTGCAAATGAACCTTAATGAAAATTACTATAAAATTACACATTCTTAGAGTCTTTATTTAACCGTTTAGTGCGGCAATCTTTGGAATCAATAACAGCCTAAAATCTTTTTGGTTTTATGTCTCTGTATTTTCTCAAAGTTTCTTTTGAACTTTGCCTCCATTTTTCCTGAATCTGTTTCCGGAGGCTTTCTTTAGTACACTCGATATTTTTTGTCCAGCACGGAGTCCAGCAAATCCTACATTTCTTCTATGGACTTTATATGTGGAATTTGTGGCATCCATACCATTTTCTGAAAATCTCCTGAGCTTACTTATATTTTAAAAAGCTCGGCATTTCTTGGAAGTGTGTGTTTGAAGTCGTGATCCTCTTGATATACAAAATTCTATCCAATCAACTTCTTTCCATAGTGCATGATGGACTAGTATACCATGATATTTATATTGATCCAGGACTTCATGAATTCTGTGAAGATGGCCAAAATCACCCTGTTGTGGGTGTATTTAATTTTATCCTTATATATAAATAAATAAACTTTTGTTTGCTAAAAAGTTTGTAAGGGGTTACAGAAGAAGTGCCTTGTCCAAACAGTCAAGCATGTAGAAGGTATCGTGATGTTTTTGGGGGCAATTTCTGCAAATGAATGCTGAAGTTGGTGGTGCACCAGAAAATTAGATAAGCCATGATTGGGAAGACTAATCAGTGATTCCAATTTAAAATATATCTATATAAAACTAATATTTCAACCCAATATGATTAGAATTGTTTCAAAGAAAGTACTAAAAGCAAAAACGTTTTTTTTTTGATAATCAAAAGAGCAGGCCCCATCTTAACCAAAAACGAGATATTTACTTCCCTAAAAACTGTCAGAAATACTTTACACCCATTTTAATTCTACACCTATTAAGTACAAATTACTGATGAATGCCAGTTGATAAAATACAAGTTTACAAAAAAAATCACACTTATTTTCATGAATGCAAGATTTCAAAAAGTTGTAATGATAAAATTTCATGTTTTGACAACAAATCAAATTTATTTAACATATGGACTTCTTCTCACCTTCAAGTTTTCACAGGCTGCTTAATCAGTCACAGCCTTAAAAGTTAAAATGTTTAAGATCAACAACAAGGCTTTAGAAGACTACTCCCTAAGCCAATAACAATTTTTATAAACACACACACACACGATTAGTTGTAACAGAGAGCTTTCATGTTTGCAACATGTTGACTAAAAGAGTAAATATATGCTAACATAGTTCCAGTGATGGAACAGTTTTGGAAACAGGAACTGTGTGTGCACTTGCACTACTGTGCACTATTAATGCTATGCATCTACCTCAAAGCATTAGCTTTTCACATTGTATGAAAGTTTTTGGAAAATTTTAGAATTCTTTCAACTAGTTTAATTAACTATAACATAGTTTTACGGTTGCATAATCCTGATAAAACCCTAAACCTACCACAATTCGAAATTTCAAATTCAGTTTAGTTCTAAGTAATGGGATTTACTTATAATACTTATTTTTGTAGTAAAATTGATTTTCAAAAAAGAATGCTAGATACTCTGACCATTTGTTGAATTCTACTCGAAGTTACTCAAGGGATATTTGAACTAATTGTCCCTAGTTTTGAAATGGCAACAAATGAGGGACGGCAACAATTCAACATCACCCACTTCCAACTCTTTGGCTGCTCTTGTCGGACCGAATAGTAGGATTTGACCATCACTTTTACCACACACCCATGGCAGTAACAGAACCTCATGTCCACAGTCAGCCATGCTAATCACTAGATCACTACTTTGACTGCTCTGTTATCTATAACTATGATGTGGTTTAGGGACAATTTTAATGAAACATTAATTTGCAGTTCAGAGGACACAGCACTCTTCTTCAGCACCAATTATGTATACACATATTTATGTATTACCACCACATAATGAACTACACAACAAAACATGTGCTTTCAATGTTTCTTTGAGAAACATCCAGATGTGAAAAGCCTAATAAATGTTTGGCAAGAAGTGGAGAGTGTTGAAAGGTTCGTCAAAACATCTGCCACCGATTCTATAACAAATGAGGCCAAGAATCAACAAAATCTCACAAGTAAAGTTGACATATTCTATCCTCCAAGAAAATATGATCCGTAACTATTCATGGTTCATATTAACGAGGAATTCCAAACAAGTCTTAGTAATGTTCTGTCAGAAATTTATGTTCATATTCTGGTAGGAAGTTCAGAAGAAAAACACTGTGAAAAATTTGTATCAAAAGGGTGAATAAAATAAAAAAACTAAATAACAAGCAGAGAAACATGGAATGTTATAGTAATTATTGTAATAATATTGTAGAAGTGACTTTAAAAATGCATGCAACCACTTTACTGCTTGCATGTAAACACAGGTATACAGAAGCTGGAAATGAAATCTTATGACCAAAGATGCAATGTTTGAAAAAATGTTTTATCAATACTCGTACCGAGAAGACGAGAGACCAATTACTCCCAGTTGAAATGCACATCTTAATTTCCATTACAAGTTTATGTTTTCAGAGCTTTCCATTACAAGTTTATGTTTTCAGAGCTTAACAATTGTTAGCTACAAAATGTCAAAACAGACAGAATTCAGGATTGTATGAGAAACTTCAGGTATTTATAGGTATTCATTTAAACAAGCACACTACAACTGTGTTTTTACAAACTTGTAAACAAGTGAACTTTTTCATTAATTTTGTGACGATAAGTGACTAGAATGTTTGACTTATAAATGAATATTAAAAGGGTTTTAACACTATTATCATGTATATCATGATAAATAAAAAAATTTAATATCACGTTTTCTCAGAGGCATTGTTTTCCTCAAACAATTAGGCTTCATGTTATAATTATTCCAACTTTCTTTTGAAAGGGTATGCTAATACAGTAACATAAGGGTATGCTAATAAGTAATATTTTCATTTGGAAGAATTATTCTCATTGTCTTTTAAAACAAAAATAAGAAAATAAAAACCTTTTTTTTTTCATACTATCTGTCATGAAATCCTCATATAATAATGCAGTAAGTAGTCATAATATTTTCAAAAAAAGTGTCTGAAGTTAGAATCAAAGAATACTTACATCTCGTCAATATTTGGATGATAGATCTTGTTCATAAACCCTAAATAAGGATGAAAAAAAAGAGAGATATCAAATGAATACACATGAATCAACAGAAAATACATCGACTCGAATTATACAAGTAACATATGGAAATACAACAAAGCTGAAGAAAAATTTAACAGTTGAAGACTGGTTAAAGACATCACTCAGAATACAGATCATCCAACTCTGATTAAAAACTGAAGTTACAAGTATGTAACAATATCTATGTACATTCTGTTACAAAAAGTACTAAGTTACATTCTACCTATTGAAGGAGACTTGAAAGGATACTTTTCTGGTAGATCTACCCGAACTTTCCAAACCCCTCCTTCATACGGTGCTGGAGAACAAAACAAATTTTTAGCTTTAGACCACAAACTATCGCACAACTTAAAACGTAATTCATTTATTAGTAGTAATAATTGTGCATTCAATATCATGAAATTTATAAACAGCAAGAAATTCATTATTTTAACATAAAAAAATAGCCTTTAAAACTGAAATATTACACTAACTATACAGCCTCTAATATAAAGTATGCTCGTTCACAATAGACAGGAAATTCAATGCTATGATCAGCTGAGAGCTACAGTTTCTAGTTGTGTTGGCTCTGATCAGCCCAGCTTGGTTGCTGACAAATAATGTTATCCAGTGGAGGTTTAACATGTCTTTAGGTGTGGTAGCCTATTTGATACATTTTTGACAAGAATAAGTATAAGTGTGTGGGTGTAAAACAAATCCATACCATTCTGTCTTTTCACAAAGATCTAAGGACATGTAAAACTTCATTAGGTAATACACTCAGTGGTTAAACTAGATACTCTACGACAGTTGATACAGACAGTCATGAAACGAGTTTCGTTAGCCAACATGAGTAAATGTTCCTGAAGATACTCTACGACAGTTGATACAGACAGTCATGAAACGAGTTTCGTTAGCCAACATGAGTAAATGTTCCTGATTACAACTTATGGTAACAAATGGTGAAGAAAGCTCAAGTACTATATCTAACTCCATAGTTAAATAATCTCATGTACATTTTTTGCATCAAGATCTAGATGGGTGTATCTCAATTAAAATGTACATCAATTCACATATAATTCATTTCAATATCGATATCATCTACATTTTATAACAAAATAAATAATCTAATTGAACGTTTGAATAACAAACAAAGCTATTAAGCATCACCACTTTGTTCTTCATGAAAACACGAAAACACGATCTTGCATGACATTATAAAGGCAAAATTTGAAGAATAAGTTACATCACGTTTAAAGTGTGGAAAACAAATTTGTTGAACTTGACTTACTTCCTTTAGGGCCGTAGAATTTTACGCAGAACTCGTTCAGACCTCCTAAAATTGTTACTTCGTGCTTGCCTTCAATACTGAAGCCACGATGTCAAGCAAAAAAACAAAGTTTACTTTGATTACCATCACATGGCATCTTGCCATTAAAACCACAGATACATATTCCCAAACTTTATACATTACCAAATAAATACGTGACCAAAATTCATGGGGAAATCTTAAATACTGCAATAATAATAATAATTCAAACTGCTGAACAGTACTATTTTTTCTATTTATTTTGTCCCCAAAACTGTAAGCTAACCATGTATTTTTTCCTCCCATAAAAAGAAGTGAGATATATTGATGAAAAGCAAATTTATGACATTTAGGATTTACATGTGCCTTAATAAAAAACATGTATTTTTGAACTATTACATTTCAAGGTTGACAATGATGCACATTCTTCAATATGGACATGACTATGTAACTGGTAGATCATTCTACGTTAACAAAGGAAGTACATATTCAGTGGACCTTTAAATGAAACTCTACAGGAAAATTACTGACAAAACAAATGACAAAACTAATTAGACTCACTTTGGCAAACAAAACACAAAGTCTCCTTTAACTGTTCTGTGACTAAAATCCTGTTCAAGTATGCACTATGTTTTATTGTTTTAAATAAACGAAATATCAAAACCACTATTTATTATGGCAAAAACAAAAATATTTTGTTACAATGTTTGACTACACTTGTTCAGATTATCGTCAGACCTGAAGGAGGCCATTTCTCCGACAAGGAGTAGCCTTTACACTGCCCTTAACCTGAAAGGCTTCCGGCCTTGATCTTTGCCTTGTGCCTCATGTGTGCAACCTTGAATTCAAAACTGCTTATTTAGTTCAGTCACACTACATTTTTACTCTTCTATTAAGCATCAACATCTGTTAACAATGAGACTAAACAGAAAAGTAACTTTGTGATCTAGTGTTTATGCAGCAAACACAGTTTCATCTACACATATCACAGTTACTGGCTACTTTGCTGGTGTACATAACCTAACAGAAATTACTCTGTTTAAAGATGAGCAATGCAGCAAGCACAGTTTCATCTACATATAACCAGCAAAGTAACCAGTAACTGTGAATACA